CCCTGAGCCGGTGAGATTTGAACCGCTGACCTGCTGATCTAGCAGTAGCCTGCAGTGCTGCATTTAACCACTGCGCCACCTTGGCTCTAAATGGGGACAGCACCTGGTTTAAGCAAATGATATTACATGTTGTTTAAGCTAGTCGCTGTACCCATTTAATGTCTATTTGATGTTTTAAAAAGTGTTTCGGTTTTATTTGTTTGGCATCTTTCGTCTTTCTCTACCAAAGAAAGAGTAAACAAAGAAGAATGGCATACTGCCAAGGGAGGATACCCACTTATAATGTTTTATTTTCTTGCCTTCAAATCAATCTTGATTCTTGGCAGCTACGTGGACAAATGCCAGGGGCTTTCTAGGCAATTATTTCAGAAGCACTTTGACCTTGTCTCCTGCTTCTTAGGGCGGTGAGGGTGTGACCGTCCCAAGGTCAGTCAACTGGCTTCCGTGTGTAAGGCAGGATTAGAGCTCAAAATCCCTTGCCCTTGGTCCAGTGCCTTAACCACTAAAGCAGAGTGGCTTGTAACTGCATTGTTTTCAAAAGTATTCCCAAGCATCAGAAAGCTACATTTTTATTTCACTCAGGATACAAAACATCTGTTCGCAAAGAATGCTGATGTATACTTCTACGCTTCAGCTGTTTGTTCTGAATATTGAATGCTGTCCAGAGTCGGAATGAAGGCTGCAGTAAGACAGCCTTAGAAAGCTAATGAATGAAATAAATTATTTATTTTCCTTCTTCTGTAACGCTGATCTGTACCCCCAGTTTTTGTTTTGGCTTTGTCTATGCAATTGCAATAGATAGGTAAAACTAAAGGTTCCTCTCGCACATACATGATAGTCGTTCCCGACTCTAGGGGGCGGTGCTTATCTCCGTTTCAAAACTAAAGACACAGTGCTGTCCAAAGACGTTCTCCGTGGTCATGTGGCTGGCATGACTAAACGCCGAAGGCGCACGGAACACTGTTACCTTCCCACCAAAGGCATTTCCTATTTTTCTACTTCCATTTTTACTTGCTTTCAAACTCCTAGGTTGGCAGAAGCTGGGACAAGTAACAGGAGCTCACTCTGTTACACGGTGCTAGGGATTCGAACCTCCGAACTGGCAACCTTTCTGATTGACAAGCTCAATGTCCCTTAATTGCAATAGATAAATTGAGTTATATTTTGACCACAAATACCTCCCCTGCAGGCAGCAGCATACTCTATAGCAGTATGGCGAACGTTTTTTGGATCGCGTGCCAAAAGTGGGGGGAGCGCAGGGGGGGGTCGTGCATGGGCATGCCACACCCATAATGCTATGCGCAGGACCCCAGTGTGCATGCGTGCAGGACCAGCACTCCCCCCTGGTTTTGGCATGCTTTTTTTGCCCAGGCTCCAGAGGCTTTATAGGAGCTTCCCTGAAGCCTCCGGAGCGCGAAAAACCGGCCCTACGAACAAACCGGAAGTTCAGGAACAAACTTGCGGTTTGCTCATAGGGTTGGTTTTAGCCCTCCGGAGCCTTCAGGAGGCTTTTCAAGGAAGCCTCTGGAAGGCGAAAAATGGCCTCAAAAGAAGGCTGAAGTCAGCTGGCCAGTGTGTGCATGCATGCTGGCCAGCTGATAAGGTAACGCCTCGCGTGCCCTGACAAATGGCTCCTGTGGCACGCATGCCATAAGTTCGCCATCACGACTTTACAGTTCACAAGCTAAGGATAATACTAAGTGGAACTCTGGGGAGGACATGCTGACCCAACACTATTAGCTAAAGTGGAGCTTAACAAAGCAGAACAAAATAAAAGCTGAAAAAACTGCCAAATGGAAGAGGTCTGAAGTCTTTAGTGGGCAGCGGAATTCCAAAGAGACATTTCCTAGGTAGCTGAAATGTTTGGAAATTAATTTTTATATGATTGTGTATAAAGGGAAAGGGAACGGTTCCCCTCACACATCTCACAAATTATTCATCTGAAACCTGTCTACTCATAATAGATTCCAAAGAGGATTCTGTTTGAGAGTAATTTACACAAAACCGGTCAGATTTGCCCACAATCTCCTAGCAACTGTAATTAGATTAGATTAGATTTATTAAATTTATATGCCGCCCTTTTCCCCTGAAGGGGACTCAGGGCGGCTCACAACTTGAACCGGGGAGGGGGATACAGACAAGAAATTTAAAAACAATAGCATAACAATATATAATTTAAAAACACACAACAGTCATACCATT